GGGGCCCCCACCTGAGACCCCACCTCACTCCTGCAGCCACTTCAGAGACGCAAGCAAGAGATTCGTGACGGGAAATGTATCTTACTTCCTGTTTTGAAGCTATTTCCAGCGGAGTGGAGTGAGTACAAATACAAAGGAGAGAGCACGACACGCGTTTGGTGATTTCTCTGACCAGCCCACTGTGGAGCTGTGCGTGTGCGAGAACACAGACGGGAAATGCGAGCGCTGCCGCCTGGGCGTAGCTGCGGATCACGGCTCAGCAGCAAACACATCTCGTCACAACAGGGACGTGGCGTTGGATTTGCGAAAGTCTGAACAAGGGCACTGCGGCGGCCCACGCAGGGGGCCTGCCTGGCCTTTCCGTCCGCGCGGCGGACACGCAGGCAGGTGTACCCGTCGCGGCAGGAGCCCCGAGCCTGCGGGAAGGCGGGCGTGAGTCCACGAGCTTCCCAAACACTGGGTCAAAGACACCAACTAGAAAGCGGATACAGAGTCTGCCTCCCTTTCGTTTATGTCTCCTTTGGGCTCATCTGCACTGCCTGTCGGCGTGGCCGGCCCTCCGCTTCCACGCGCTCTCTCCCGCCCTCCTCGGTCTCCGCCGGAGAGCACTTGCACCAACCGCCGCCCGGTCCTGGCCAGGAGTCGCCCGCGAGTTCTTCCCGCACACAGAGCCGCTCCGGCGTTCTTGCGCCCACGGCAGCGTGGCGTGGCGCCGCCTTTGCCAAACCGCGAGGATGGCCGGTGGCCACGCAGGGCTCGCCCGGGGGTGGCGATGGCTCGGGCCGGGATTTCCTAGAACGTTCGGCTGGAGGAGATTCTGATCATTCCTTCACTTGCATAGGTGCATTCTCCAGTGGACTTTCCAGTCTGCTTAAAAACAGCAACGAAAGTCCTACTGCTGCTTGCTTCAAATGGGAAAGACAGTATTTCTTCTTCTTCTTTTTTTTTTTTTGAATCAGAGTCTCACTCTGTTGCCCGGGCTAGAGTGAGTGCCGTGGCATCAGCCTAGCTCACAGCAACCTCAAACTCCTGGGCTCAAGCAATCCTCCTGCCTCAGCCTCCCAAGTAGCTGGGACTACAGGCATGCGCCACCATGCCCGGCTAATTTTTTCTGTATATTTTCAGTCGGCCAATTAATTTCTTCCTATTTTTAGTAGAGACGGGGGTCTCACTCTCGCTCAGGCTGGATTCGAACTCCAGAGCTCAAACGATCCGCCCGCCTCGGCCTCCCAGAGTGCCGGGATTACAGGGGTGAGCCTCCGCGCCCGTCTTCCACCGGCATTTCACTGGTGAATGCAGCATTAATGTCTTTGTCTCCTCTGTCTGTCATGTTCTCTTCCAAACGTGGCCTCGAATCCTTTGAGGAACAAGGTGTGAATGAGTGAGCTGCCACCACGCCAGGTGTGTGTATGGGGCGCACAGCTCCGGGAGGACGCCCCGGTGTGGGCAGGGCCGTCCTCGGGGGGCCCCCGCGGGTCTGTCTCAGGAGCCTCCTGGGTTTGGCAGCTTGGGGACATCAGCCCCGGCGCTGGGTGCAGGGTCCCCGAGACCCACAGCAGGGGCCGTGGCACCCGACACCCACACGCTCTTTGAGAGGGGGGACCTCCCTAGCGCAGGTGCTCTGCCCCAGAGCAGGGCCCCTGGCCGAGCCCGGGCCACCCCCGGGCGACTGTGCCGTCTGCGTGTGGCTGAGACGCCCCCTCGCCCCGGCCTCGGCAGGGACAGACACTGGGCTGAGAGCTGGAGCTAGAACATGCCTTTCCCTAAACAGACACTCGAGCCAGAAACGCCAGGGCCCTTCTCCGGGACGAGCAGGCACTTCAAGAAACCGCTGCCACGGCAGCAAACACCAGGGCGTCTTCGAAATGCAGAAACGCTTTCCACGGAGGAGGGACATAGCCAGAGACGGGCGGGCTGGCCGGGTGGTCGGTCCTGCCGGTTCGCTTGGGAGCCAGCTGCCTGGAGGGACCGCGGGACGCTTGGACAGCCTCCCGCCCCGTGTCCAGAGACCACCGAGTGGGCTGGGAGATGCATGCTCTGTGGCGAGCATCCATGTGCACCAAGGCGTGGCCGGGCGACAGGTTCACGTGGGCTCTGCGACAGTTGCGGGGGAGCAGGAAGCTTGGGAAAATGAGTCCGGGATACTAACAAAGTGGCCGGGCTGGGTGCACGTCACGGGTCTGGCGTTTGGCTGTGGACGGTGGGTGCCACACGGCCACGTGGGAGTGGGCGGGTGAGGGCAGCCTGGCCACGCTGGCGAGAGCGGGGAGCCCTCAAAACGTCAGTCTCATGACACGTGTGGTGCTGGTGTCACCCCTGCCACGCGGACACAGGCAATGGCCTCCACGCAAAGGTGCAGAGGAACATGAGAGCCACGTGAAGCCACGGGGCCACGGGCAGCCCCGCCACAGCTCTGGCACCGGCTCTGAGGAGGTTGCGGCGGTACAGGTGGGAAGGTCCCCCAAGTCACTTGAGGCCCCCCAAGACCAGGTGGGTACGAGTGGGAAGGTCCCCCAAGTCACTTGAGGCCCCCCAAGACCAGGTCACGTAAAAGTGGGGGAGGATGGAGGAGACGGACCTCTCTGCAGGCACACTCGAACCAGGCTCGGAGGCAGGAGACCCGTGTAACGCCGGGCAACCAGCGGCATCATGGCGCCAGGGGCGTGGGTGGCCAGGCTGGGGCTCACTTGGGGAGGTCGAAGGTGTCGCTGGCTCTGAGGCTCGCTGGCCTGAAGGACAAATCGAAGGACCTCTGGTCGCTGAAGCTCTGGGCTCTGTACTTGGCCAGGGGCAACGGCTTTCTGCGCTGCTCCTGCTCTGCCGTGGCCGGCTCCCCCCAGGGGCCCCTCTGCGCCCCCGGCCGCCGTGGCAGCCCCTCCTGGCCCTCGGCCCAGGCGCCCCAGCAGCCCCCAGCTCCAGGTGTGGGCACGGCCGGGCCGTTCTCGGGCTCCAGGGGAGGGGCTGCGCTGCTCTTGCCCCTGGGGGTCTGGCTGCCTGGGGGCGGGCGTCGGGCAGCAGGGTCCCCCTGGCCACCCTCTCTGGGGACAGGTCTTCCCCATCCCCCACTCCCACCAGCATCAGGTGTTTCTCCAGCTGTGCTGGCAACGGGCTGCTCCCTGGCCAGGGGTGTCATCCCGCCAGCCCAGGCTTGTCCCTGGGGCTGTTGCTGGGGCTGTCCCTGGACCTGTCCCTTGACCTGTACCTGGGGCTGTCCCTTGACCTGTACCTGGGGCTGTCCCTTGACCTGTATCTGGGGCTGTCCCTTGACCTGTATCTGGGGCTGTTTCTGGACCTGTCCTTGGGGCTGTCCCTTGACCTGTCCCTGGGGCTGTCCCTTGACCTGTATCTGGGGCTGTCCCTTGACCTGTCCCTGGGGCTGTCCCTTGACCTGTCCCTGGGGCTGTTCCTGGACCTGTCCCTGGGGCTGTTCCTGGACCTGTCCTTGGGGCTGTCCCTTGACCTGTATCTGGGGCTGTTCCTTGACCTGTATCTGGGGCTGTTCCTGGACCTGTCCTTGGGGCTGTCCCTTGACCTGTACCTGGGGCTGTCCCTTGACCTGTCCCTGGGGGCTGTTCCTGGACCTGTACCTGGGCCTGTCTTCCCTGACCTCGCTGTCCCCTTGACCTGTCCTTGGGGCTGTCCTTGACCGCTGTAGCCTGGGCCCTTCCCCTTGACCCTCTGTACCTGGGGCTGTCCCCCTTTGACCTGTAGCCCCTGGACCCTTTGTCCTTGACCTGTCTTTGGGGCCTGTTCCTGAACCTGTGTCCTTCGGGGCCCTGATCCCCCTTGACTGACCTGGGGCTGTTCCCTGGACCTGTCCCCCTGGATGTGTACTCTGGGGCTGTTCCT